TTTTTTTCTAGAATCAATATATAAATATAATTAAATGTTAGTAGTATGTTAATTATTGTAAAATACAGCAGCTTGTCTTGGAGCGTCATTTGTCTTGAAGAAAATAGAGTTTATATTTTTTTGTGAAAATTTCATTCTGAAATGTTATAATCATCAAAACAAAACAATGAACATCGTTATGGATTATAGATATATTAAAAATATTACATAAAACTACGTATACAAATTAAAATACTAAGTTATTGTCAAATGCAGCAATGGCAAATAAAACTAATCTTAATATATTATATTTATTGTTATTTTCTGATAATTCAAATTGAATAGTTGGCAGTAGATGCTAAATCCCACACATAAGCATCATTACAATGCGATCTAAATTAAATATCCTCCTCGCTGAGTTTCTGTAAATAATAAAAACATATAGATGTCACTTACTCAACGTATTCATATTCAGTAAAAAGGTTAGAATTCAAACAAAAATTAAAAGACACAAACTAATGAGTACAACCACAAGTGACCGGTGAATTATGGGGGAGAGGGGGGCACATGGTTGTTAACATAATAAAGACGTGATAGAATATCCCTGCATAAATATTTAATTGCTCGAAATTACATAAAGGGAACGTGCATCTCTTCCATTACATAGAACCAATCTTTTAGTTGTAATAAAGGACAAGTATTCTTGATCTAAAATACTTGCTGATTAGTGATTGTTTTCACGACGTTTTCTTAAACAAAAATATTTAAAAGGCGAGAATTCATCGGTGATGCATGCCCTAAGTATACTATAGCTAAACAAGAATGTAATTGTTTATATATGTCTCTTTTCGTCTTGATAGACGGTCAAAGCAGCATTTAAAAAAAATGTCTTGCAGTGACGCTCATGGCTTATCCTGACGATGTTGTAAGTGACGCTTCTGAAACAATTTCCGCAGGTCACACGTACACTACAATGATTACGTAATTAGTGGTAAGAAACCTACACACGGATTGGTCAGCCATTGGGGAATAGTAACTGCTTTTATTGTTCATTGTGGTTACTTTGATGTTGGTAACGTGAATGACTAAATAGGAATAAGAAAGTAAGCTGCCATGATACACTAAGCAGAGAGGGAAAATGTATGCAACAATTAGACATCAAAAAAAAAAGAATGAGAGAACGTTAACTACCATGGGAACTGGGCAGAAAGGAAGATATAATAACTTACATGGCACACCAAGCAGAGAAAAAGACAATGTTAGCTACCACGGGAACCAGGGCAGAAAGGCGGAATATCATAGCCATAACACACGAGAAGGAGATAGTGTAAACTAATATGAGACACAAAGCAAAGCAGAGAAGAAGACGGAGAGACTACACAATCATCGGACTCAGTTTTGCGAATTGATGAGTTGCAGTTCTCTGCGAGATCTCGCGTATTGCGTGAAAGGCGCGAAACAAAATTGACAATCATCAAATTTGTATACCCCGTCGAATTTCACAAGTTTTGACGCTACCACGAGCTAAGACATTGCTTTTCCTGTGGTTTCTCGCAGTGAACATAAAATGGTCTTTTAATCAAATAGTGTCTTTTGCCAATGGTAATATACACTCGTTTTTGTTATTATGAGAGACGCATTTACGAGGTATTCACCATTGACAGAATGACCATTTTTTATGAATGAATATTGAAAACAAGCTATACACTACTATACACATATGAATATACATTTTTTTGAGTATGCATTTGTCTAATTTGCATAATTAGTATTATAATTTTATATTTCAATATCACAATTGAGAATTTGGCATCACAATTATTTAAAAATCACGAAATTGTTTGAATGCATGCATTTTGATGTTTATTAATATATGGATGTTCCAATCAAGGTTCAATTAAAGTGTTCTGATCACTGTTATTGATATTTTAATTATTAGTTATTATTATTAATTGATACCTACAAAGTCAGAGTCATCGGTGATGTAATGATTAATATCAACATGTGGTCGTTGAATAGTAAATTGACCGTCAAATTCTTCTCCAACTTGGTAGTCCCATCTGTATGCAAAGTTGGAATCTTCTGCTGCTCCATAAGCGATATTATCCCGGTACATATGTTCCACAGCATTCCAGTCCACAGATGAATCTTCCGGGAATTCATGGTCGTAGTAGTAGTCACTGTCAGCATCAGTGTCGTAACTACTCCTCGGGTAAGGATACTCACTGCTACTACTGGTTGTAATGTTGTAGATGTATTCAATTTTTCTAAAAACAAGAATAATATCATGTATGGGTTAATGACATCTTGTAATGAAGATGTCTGACCTCTGCTAACACGCACATTCGACACACGAGTGTTCATAAATGTCGTACTGTATAGGGCTAATAGAAAGCCAGAACAAAATTGAACTACCTTTCAAAATTAGTTTTGTGTTTTGACACATTTTCGAAATGGTCGCCAAAGTAAACGTTTATGAATGAGAAAATCACAAAGTATTTGTTTCTACGGAAGCAAGTTTATATAATTATTCTGTATTTTACGCGTCTATTGCTATAACACTTGCAGTATGATTTACTTTAATTGTGAGGAATGATACTTACTCTTTTTGTTCACGCCTCCTACGACGTGCTATGCACACAATACAACAACAGCAACAACAGAGTAATGACAAGACTAAGCCAGTTACAGCAATTAACACCCATACCCATGTGTTATTTTCAGCTGCCAAAAAAATATAATAGAACGGTATAAACACAACTACTGTACAACTCAAGCACAATCTTGTGACATTTGATGTCATCTTGCGAGTGATCATTGCGGTTTTCGTGAATTACTAGAAACTATTATTTACAAAATGTTAACGCTGTACAAGATAAAAACACAATGGTTCACATACCACTTTTTTCAGGACTACGTGAAATTAGTAATTTAAAAACAAGGTCGGTAGATTAAAAAAACGATTGGGTGTCGAGGACTATATTTTAAAAAATGATAAAAAGGGGTCAAATAATTATTTGAATATGTATTACATTTACGATAATTTGCATTATGCCATTACATGGATTATCACAACGTTTTATATGTCCACGTAGCACATCCACGCACATGTAACTGTTTAGGCAAATCAATTTAAACGATTAATAATACCACCCTATCTCTGAAAAAAAAATGCTCACATATTTCACATCATTAGTCCTTGTCGCACGACCATATGAATCAAATCGTAAAACACCTTTAACTCTCTTAGAAACATAATCAAGGCAGGTAAAAGCTAAGCCCATACATTTTAATTACTGCACTGCCAGGTACCTATTCATTTCTTTGCGAAGAAAAGTACTGGAGTAAAGTGCTAAGCCCAATGAAACAATATGATGGACCTGCAGGGTTCCAACAGACAACCATCTTATTGTGAACCATAGTTATTTTACCACAATCAGTAACCAGTGTCTCTATATCAATATATATATTTGCTGAACGACAATCAGTGAACATTTAATAGCTTGATCATAGAGAAAGTGAGACAACATGTTTTGCACTTATTGAAAAGGTTCAAATGCCTATTATTCTTTCGTTAGCATGGGCACAAAATATAAAAAAAATGGAAATACAATGTCATGAAGAATAGTCAAAATTGACATTTAACACTTTATGTTATGTCTATTACTTGATTGATTTCAAATGAAATGTTGTGAAAACTGGACTTTTCAATTTAGTAAGTTTCCAGGGTGACAATAAATACATGTATAGCTTACTGCTTACATAGCAGGAGTGTACATCCAATGAATAGTTAAGGAATAACCACTACGCTGTATATCAAGAGATTCGGACAAATTTCACAACATATACACGGTGGTGTAAAGTGGTCAAAATCGAGTGGTATACTCGCTTCTGGGCTGACTATTATTATAGTAGTTTCACATTTTAAACGTAATTATGAGAAATAGAATGCGTCGAAAACCATGTACAAATGTAATACAGCACCCGAAACGTTCTATTTGCAACCGAGATACAATCTTAATGGTCCCTGGAACTAACATACAGCGATCATACATACATTCAACGATGGCGCTAATTCGAACTAATTACGAGATTTAGTTTCTTATCAGAGGCAACGTTAACATATGTAAACAAATAAAGACATGGTTTAGAGCTTTGTGCCCGATTGCGTTCTGATTGTTGAAAAACGAACGAGCTCCTACAGACGGTAACTATTTTTCCAGCGTCGTTTGCATAATGTTTGAAAATTATACTTTTCTCACGCTTCTCGTTTTGAATCCGAGCGATTTTTTTTTCATAACGTGCTATATTCGTAATTCAAAAGAATATTAATGACGATTAAGGTTGACAAGGTTTTAACATTTATGGCTCATTTCTAAACACAGCAAATCCTGGGATATCGTGTAATTATAATAATTAAGATAAATGCGTTATCGACCAATCAGAACAATGTTTCTGGCTGGTATACTATGTAAACGCTTCAAATTTGAATAATATGCACAGATATGCACAGTAACGAGTACATGTCTCATTATGACGAATGTTAGGAAGGAATACACAGAATGTGACAACGCACGTTGGTACAATTACGCTAGCATGATTGCTGACCAGTATTTGTCTTGTATAGTGAAATATACAGGAAGTATAGTTTTGGATGAGAGTGGAAATACATAGGGATATTGTATGTTGTCACTTCACTGAATATTACAGCATTATAATATAAGATAAATTGTGAACACATGCGTAATAATCATGATATGTGGAGTGAATTAGAAGGGAATTTAAATATCATAAATACAAGTCATACAGTACTGAAAAGGAACATGAACGTAGAAGGATTAGAAATCAGTAGACACTCGACTATCAATCAACTTTTCATAATTATGGAAACCATATTAGTTTACTATCAACCATGCTCATACAGACTTGAAATACAGAGACTAACCATGGGTAACTAGTCACAGTCAACCATTGCAGTTGAAAATCAAAGGCTCATTAATTTGAGTGGGGTCTAAACCAAACTAGGGAACTTTATAGTATAACAAAAAAAAGAGCATTTTCTTTTTACCTTGGTTGTTTGTCGGCATAATAGTAACTTCAGTTGTACAGTTAGGCCCGGACGTACCAGCTGGACACCTGTAATTTAATTTTAGTTTAATTAGCGTAAACAAATGTTTCTGGCCAACACGGTATCAAATGTTAATACGGGTGCATAGTTACAGTACAATATAGCGTAACAGAGAGTGAGTTTCAATTCAATTCTATGTTTAGCGTTTACATGTTATTGTATAATTGTGTCTTAGTGTTCCATATACCCACGTTACTTACTGGCATTTAATGAAAGGATTCGTTTGATGATCTGTCATATTCACACACTGAGATCCAAGTGGGCAATAATTGGGATTCTCGTTACATACAGATATACAATATTCATTGATGAATGACTTGCAGTACATTCTGTCGGGACACCTGGTGAAATGACAAGGATCCCTGTACAACACTTCAGGATCTAAAAAGAAACATAGTTTAATACAATCTACTAAACGGTTTACATGTTGTATATGGAAGCGGTGGCATGTGTCTTGTTTGCCCCAGTACATTTTTGTATCCGCCATATTGGTTCATTAAAGCTCATCATGTCACAATCACGAATATGCATAGACATACATCTATCACAGCGGGATTTGACAATTTTGAAACACTATAGTATTTATAACCCAATGTATTTACTGTGTACAAATGGTGACAGTATACGTCATGAAGGACCGAATATTGGCCTACAAATTACTGGCATAATCAATCGAGGCTATGACGTAATCGAATGAGGCTACACATTCCAGACGTACGTAGTTGGACGGTCTTACGTATCGCTCACATAATGTAACGTAATAACGTAACATCACACACAAACTCAAACTGGTATGTCAATTTATATACGCAATTGCATGCTCAGTTATACCTAGATAATAAAAGGTAGCACGCTAGTTTTATAGAGAATTTCTAATTAGGGTAGCATTATATACAAATTATATACTGATTATCTTATTGGTCGATGCACTGAAATGTGACGTCATCTTCAAAGATAGAGAAGCATGGCTCATTTTGATGACTTCGCGCTATTTAAGATAACTGTTTCGAATATGATAAATATGAATGAATGTTTCCTCAATATACCAATCATTTAAGACACTCAGCAGCGTGCGTTTTAGTGTTAGTAGACGCATTTAATTCCCTCGGTGTCATAAAACGGGACTACATCAAAAGTTAAATGTTACTAATATTTTACTTCAAACATTGCTTTCGGTAAAATATGTTAAAGCGGGGGAGTCGTAACCTACGCAAG